GTTCATTACGATACAGATTTTAATCGTTTAATAGCGTATTATGAAATGTCAGTAGAAAAACTAACATGTCAGAATTGTCATTGCGATAAATCATAAATATAATCCATTAATATTGACTTTTCTCAAGCTAACAAAAGTCGATTTTCTTTGCGACGATAGCTTTTCTGTGTAGTTTTTCCATACACCATATAAATACGTAAAAAAGTGAAAATAGATATTTATTTAGAGAACCCAGATAAAATATTGTTTACAATACTGAGCAATAAATTCATACCCACAGATGCACAAAAAATAGGTAAATGTGATGGATTAACAAAAAAAAAAAAGCACATACACTCTGAAAGGCAAAGTAGAAATATTTATAGTAGGTTCGTAGCGACAAAATCTTGATAAATAGAAACTATGAATAGAAATTAATTAAATACATTGTCATTATATTTTAAAGTAACTAACATTTTTGTGTTTTTTCGATCATCCCAGTGAAAAATCTTACCGCCCGAGGACAGACTCCATAGCGTCACAGGACACTTTGAGATCATTGTTGATAAACGCAAGCAAAAGCTGTTCCAGTTCTTCATTTTCTGATTCGGGCAAACCACATATTCTTAGGGAATTACGTTTGTTGTCCTGTTCAATGTGATCCATCCGCTCCCCAATCTTAAGGATAGTATTAGTATTACTACTAACCTTATCATTCAATGCAGTAAACGACTCACAGGCCTGGGTTAACTTGTTTTCCAACTTCTTAATTCGGTTGTCAAGCTTCTTATCTAACTGCTGAATAAAGTTAGTGCATACCTTGTTGATAAGCTGCTCTAAAGTATCCTCATCTAATCCAGTAGACAAAGAATTCTTGGTTGACCGAGGTTGTTGACCTGAACCACCCATCTTTTAGGCTGCGACTTTATCGCACTCAAACCACTATACTGACGGAAAGTATTAATTGACAAACAACTACAAATTACTCAGTGTGTGGAAAAGGCGAGTAGTAACTTTTATCACCTATCGATTGCACAACTAGAACGCACAACTCATGCCAAAAATCGAAAATTAAATTGCAAAAAAAAACACTTAAATTCACAAAACCTATGCGGAACCAAGCAAGCGAATGCTACTCGAACAACGACATGATAGCGACTGAATCTGTAATTTGTGATTGTTTATGCCGGTAGCAAAAGTAAGTATGTGCGAATCTTTTTTTCCATTATAACCTCAAAATTTACAACTTGCCGCAACACAAAACAACAACAAAACAAACTATTCTTGCAAATAACGGTGGAAAATGTGTAAATCAAACAAATTAAATACAATGAAGTATGAAGTTTGGCGACAAGGTGACTCAAAATCATACTACGTGACGTCATCCAGATTCGCGCGCATTTAAGGTCGTTTGAAATGCTTTTAATTCGCGTGAAACTTTAAACATTTTTCACCAAGTTATTATTGAGCTTTAGGGAATAATATTTGGGGAATATTCTTTCAAGGCATAAATAAATGATTTAAAAAAATATAAAAAAAAATGTAAAGTTCCCTATTGCAACCACCTAAAGTATGGGGTACGGTTCACTGGCGACTGAACGAACACTGCGATTTCGGCGGTTGTGACATCACAAGCTCCTGCATAATTTATCTTGAAATGGAATTTTCTCGGAGGCTATTTTGAATATATGACTGCGGTTTTCACGAGAGATCTTAGAATTTTTTTCTTAATTCAAGTAGCTTGAGTCGTTTTTTAGGGTCACGCCCCCTTTAATAGGCTCATTACGTAACTCATTTTTTTATTTATGAATATTAAAAGTAGAACTAATACCTGATGCTGCTGATAGTGTTACTTGAAGTCCTTGTTGAGAAAATATTTTCTTTCAGCCTTGAGCTTTAAGCTCGCTGAATAATCTGTTGTGAAAAATCAAAACCATCGAATACATAAAACAAAAATCTGAGTTGTAGATAAAATGTATATCACACGTACGGTAACGCTCATTATAGTACTCGTGTGGTTACCACGACTCCTTCTACAGCCTCGTCGTGACAATATTTCCATTCGATTCACAATTTTTTTCTCATAATTTTTTTAAAAAAAGGTCTCGGCAAGAATTTCGAAAATTTTATATATTTATTTGCAATCTGGGGGCGTCTGGCAAGGCTTTAAACCCGTGAAAATCGTCTGGCATTAGTACAGCCTTGTTAAGGTTTAAAGTCAGGCCTATAGTTTATTGCAGCAACGCGAGATGTCAGTACTGTCGCCCCTATAGTGTGCCCTAACTTGATAGTCAAAAAAAAATAGAAATCTGCATTTGGTTAAATTGTGTGATGGAAAGTTTTTTCTTTTTTTTGCGGAAATTCGAAGTATTATTCTGTTCTACATAAACAGGGTTGTAGTTTCGACCAACACAAATAATTTTGAACGTTCATCTGTCGGATTTATTTTCAAACAGTGTAGCTACAGGCGTATATCCAACTATTCTTGCAATAGCGAGAAAACTACAAGTTCAAAAAATTTGAAAAAAATATATGTCGCGTAGAATTGCAATAGTAGTTCGTAATAAAAATAACGGGAAACTTCATCTCTTCGTTTTGAAATAAATAGTGAAAACCACTTTTTTTTCAGTTTTTGCGATATATCTCAAAAATGGCGAGTCAAATTTGCTTAAAAAAATTATGGATTAAAGTATATTAATAACCATAAAACATATATTTTTTTTTGGAATTTTTGAACACAAGGTTCAGAAATTGGGGGTTGACTTTAAACCTTAAGGGAACATTTTAATTATGCCTATGCCAAACTTCCCCACTACATGCTGCCAGACTATGGTTTTCGATCTCGGGGATAATATTACATCGTTTAAGCATGAAATTTTCCATCGGCAACTTTTTACGGAAAAACATGCACTGGCTCTTAGACTATTACATGCTACCATGCTAGTAGAAGAGGACACGAATGCACTCAGGTCTCAGTGCGCACTGAACTTACCAATGGATTTCACTAGTGTGTATATTATCCGTGGTACGAATGGTCCAAGGCGGCGCGACAATCAGCGCCGTTTTGTTTACTTGCCAGACATGCTATTTATTAAAAAATTTGCCTTCAGCGCCATTACCACCAGATTGTTTACCTATAATTTAAGGGAGGGAGGGGGGGCAAGTAGTGTATGCCCTATGTCAAATTTGTCATGCCCTATCACAAATTTGACTCGCTATGCGCTATGTGTCTGAAAGTTGTATGAGGAAGGAGAATAAAGTGTGTTTTTTTTTTTAAAGATAAAAGTCAAACTGACATTATGTTGGCAATACAATGTAAAACTGCCAATGGTTTCAAATTTTTAATGTAGAAAAGGCTTGTTGTGCCAACATAGTTACTAAATTTTTGACTTGAGGAATTATCTTTAAAAAAAAAACAGACTTTAGTTTTTATTTCGAATTATATTATGTAATTTTTACATTTCTTACTGGTTTGAAGGCTCGAAAATGTCATTTCACTTTTGTTCACTTCAAAACAGGCCGAAAGTGACAGTTCTGTCACTTTCTGCCTGGAGAACTCACTTTCGGCCTGCTAAATAATTGTTCTTTCGCACCTAAACACAAATCCAGGTGCGATCGTTTGTATTTCACTGTCACAATGTGTTTGTATTGTTGGTGTTGTCAATGTCGGTCATAGAATATGTCGGTGTCAGAGTTCCAGTCGAAATTCAATTTTTGTCATACTTTCATTTTTTTTTTCTCAATAATTGATGGTTCAAAATAAAATAGTATACATATTCCGGTAGAAAGTTTTCACATATTATTGGTATTGACTCGAGAATTGGTTGACCTCGGCGCTTCGCACCTCGGTCAACCATAGTATCTCTCGACAATAATGAAACACTTTCCACCTCCACAATGCTACATATGATTTTTTTATGTTTTAATAAGGTTGGGAAAATTAGGAATGTCATCCCCCCTAAACCAGAGGCCTTCGCTACGTCCCTGTCCGGGTTCACTTCACAAACAGTAACAACTTTTATTAAACTCATTAACTTTACTCATTGAATTCAGACACCCTCTCTAGTCTCTTTAGGTATAGTCGAAATTGCACTCGAAATTTAGCTAGAAAACATCGAATCGAATATAATAGAATTCTAGAAAAAAGCACACTACTCGACGTGAACAAGCGACGAATTCAATTTCTTGGAATCCCGACGGCGCGATGTCAATGCATTTTCGTAACACTTCCATCCTTCTAAATCAGAATATCCTGATCTGATTAACTAGACGCACCACATCCTCTTCTTCGTCTATATCTCCACTCAGATTGATAATGACTCAATATTTTCTCTTGCCTAACATCACTATGCATGTTTAAGTGGACTGCAACCTGAACGCAGCGCCTTGCCTTTATGACTTATGTAGCTATACAAAGATAGTGGTAGAAAAACAGGCCGGTTTTTCAATTCCTCCGAATGTTTCAATTTCTTGATATTGTCATGGATTCCGGATTCACTAAAACTCACTTCACAAACACTAACAACTTTTATTGAACAAATTGACTTCATGTAAAATTCACTTATCACTTAACGAGACGCGAGTCGTACATAACAAATCTTGAATTTAAACTAAACTCAAACTATGTATGAGGTATTTATAGTCAAAATCGCACTCCGCATCTATCTAGAAACACATCGAATCTAATATAATAGAATTCCCAGAAAAGGCGTGTTAGCAAGTGAAAAATTGAAGTTCCGAAAATGTTCAACCAGAATCACTTTCCACTATCTGAAATAAGCCAAATAGCTATTTTCATATACTTTATGTTCTATTGTAGTGAAATATTTATGATTGGGAAAATAAGTGTACTTGTATTTTTCATTGATCTTGTGAACTCATTCAAAAATTTCAGCCAGACTCAAAAATTCTTGTTTCGTATCACCAAGAGAACAAACTATTTAATATACATCAACTAGGAGAATAGGTGCTTAAAAATTTCACTGCCTCTGTAGTTCAATAAAATTTGTTGTCGGTAATGAAGAGTTTTAGTGAATCCGTGACTATTATTGCTAATTTATTTTAGTGAAATAAAACTTCCTTTATTACGCATATACATTTTAAACATTCAAGGCAAAATAATCGATTACATTACTACATAATTATATAAACCACTCATGAATTAGCCTAATCCAACTGCATTTCTTCATCATCGTCATCTTTTTTAGTATCCTTCTTGGCCTCCTTATTTTTATCCTTGTCTTTGGCGGCATCTGCAGATGACTTTTCTAAAGCTTTAACAAAGTCCTGCATATTGCCAGATGCGGCAGCAGCCACCGCGTCGGGATTAACAGCCAGCTGAGAGACGACTGGGCCTAGTTGACCAGACTCTAGAGCGCTGGAAAACTGGGAGACAGCCTAAAATATACACACTTGTAATAGAAACAGTTTAAAATTTTGAATTTTGACTATAAAATATGACAATAACTGCCGGCAAAAGATGAGTTTTGGCGATAGATGGTGTGGAAAATATCAATCATAATATTTTATTCTAACCTCAAGTTATTGTGATTTTTGTAGTGCAGAAATTTAGGAAGTAAAGCTGTTGACTTCAAAATAGAAAAGAGTAAAATTAGACATAAAAACCATTAAAAAAAAAAACTGTCAAATGAAAATCTTACCTGTTGGAACTGTGGTGAAGCCAAGGTAGACCTTAAACTCTCCTGAGTATTGTTATCAATTGATGGCAAATGCTCTTGCAGTTGTTGTAGAGCATCAGGATTGTTTATAATAGTTGATAAAGCCTCTCCAGTTAAAGCAGCAGACAAATCAACTACATTAAAAAATATATAGCAGCAACATATAAAAAAACATGCATATTAAAATTATTACCTGATTGTTGCTGTGCCTGTGCTGGTGCTGGCTGTTGTCCTGTTGAATTAGGAGGGGCGATCCCTTGCAAAAAGTTCTGCAAGTCTACTAATTGAATCGATCTAGTCTCAGGTTCAGTTCCAACAGTAGTATTGCGGTTGGCTCTTGGGGCAGATGGAGTAGTTACCTAAAAATTAGTATTAAAAAAATATATTGAAAAAGAAATATAGAGCATGTACAAGGATTGATGCAACAAGAGATATTTTCCATGGAGTTTTAAACTGCTAGAGGAATCTGAATATATTATTACTTGTTTGGCACTGAAATGGAGCAACAGATGTATTCTCCATCACATAAATGATGAGGTATACCGTAGCTTGTGAACTGTTAGTTGATGGAGAAAAACAAACAGAAATGCGTTTCTTCTTGAGTGTTAGAAGAGAAAGGGCCTCATCTCATCCTCTAAACAAAATAGTTCCACAGCAATGGCCCAAGCTATGGATATACCAAACTTAATGGAAGATAAACTATTGTATTTGGAAAAGGTTCAGTCTTAAAAAACCCAAAAACTTTATATATTTTTATTCTGCTACTGGTTTCACACATAAAACTAGTCAATAGCATATTATGATGATCATGCTTGTCTCATCTTCGATATACTATACTTACAGGTATACTGGCATTTGGTGGAGTTGCTTGAACGGCAGGAGCATTATTCTGACTTGTTGTGTTGGTTGTTGGAGTAGTTGCAGTGGGGGTTCGATGAGTTATTGCTGGAGTGGTGTTTCTTGAACCAACGTGCCTGCACAAATTACATGGTTCAGATTTTTTTTTTCAAAACTTGATAAAATCCAATTTTATTTATTCTAGAAATACACAAATCAAGAGCATCAAAAGTAGGTATGCACACCTATTATCATCACATGTCAGTATTCAGTATACAAAATATTCAAAAAAATACATTCAAAGTTGACTATAGAACATAAAGTAAAACTAACTAGGAATAATTGATATATACTTGATTTTCTTTTGTGTGTTAAATCTAGAGAAATAATGTATTGTTTTAAGTTTCAGGTAGCACTGAGTTATTGCGAGATGAGAATGGCCAAATCTATTAACTTTTTGCTAAAATTGATGTGATTTTTGCTTGTTCGTGCTTATTAATTACCTCATTCCCAAAAGACTAGACAGACCACTCATTTGCCCAGCACCACCAAACAGTTGCATCAGTTGGGACTGAGACATACTGCTCAAAAGTGCTTGTAAATCCTGGTCTGGTCTCTCTAATGAGGACTGAACAGCACTGGACGGATTATTAAGCAATTCGTTAATCCTTTTGCAGTTATCTTCGTCTTTGTCGGTCTTGGGTTCTTGAAGCCAGAAGAAGAATTTTCTGTTTGAGGATTTGAATTTCAGCATGTAGACGCGTCCAGTGGTACACTGAGGCACCTTTACATACTCACAGTCGTCAGGGAAAATGATCAGATCATCTTCCACAACGCCTTGAAAAAAAATTTAACTAGTTAGTAAGTGATTGAAATTTATGGGATATGTTAATTAGTACCTGTAGTACGATCTTGCCAGCAAAAATGCATCAATGAATCTTCACTCTGGTACACATAAAGGAGCCCCTTCCTTTTATCAGGATTCACCATTTTATCTGTAAATATATAAAATAAGCAAAACAGTATCATTACAGATGAATATTTACTTTTCAAATTCATTTTTCCAGCTCTTGTTTCCACCAAATGCTTATTGCCACCTGTTGAACCAGGGCCTGTAGCAGCACTCCCAAATAATGCACCTCCAGCTGGCATATTGACTATAAACAGAAAACAAATGGATTACGAATGATTTTGAAGATCCAATATGTATTTTAAGTATAGATAACGTAGGTATAATAAGGCAATAATTTGTCACAAAATGAAATAAAAGGTAGTTTTCCAATTCAAATACTAACTTTTTTATTTATCATTTTTAATAATAATTTACTAATCATTTGGAATTTAATTCAAATATAACCAAAAAGGTGGGGCAATTGATGTAGTTTGGTTAGATGTCCAAATAGGAAGTATAAAAATATCCCTCACATGCATTTATAGGCCAGATACTACGACCCCATTTATATGTGAGAGACTTCAACTACCCAAACATAAATTGAGAAAACCATCTAATTGCACCTCCAGACAAAAAAAAAAACACAGGAATTTATGAATGTGTATCTTGAAACAAATGTGCATCAAATTGTAAATTTTCCAACAAGGAACAGGAATAATCAGATATCACTTCTGGAACTTTTTCTCACTAATGATCCATCTTTGATCTTTCTAAAGAACCTCCCAATGGCCGCAATGATCATGTGGTGATTAAGGCGAAAATACCTTTGGAAATTCCACCTAGACAAACACAACAAATAACTAGATTTTTTTTTCTAACCACCAATTATGAGGAAATAAATAACTTCATCAGACTCCAACCAACAAACAAGTAAATCCACAATTTGAGATCTTCCAGTTTGTTATGAGAGATGCAATGGAGAAAAAGTAACACACAAAAACTATGGATAAACCATTATTTATTAAGGGAAATAGATAAGAGATATAGATTATGGGATAACTATAAAACAAACAAAACACTAATCGATGCCCGCATAATTTATCTTCATAAGGAATTATGTCGGATATTATTTTGAATATAGGACTGTGATTTTCACAAGACATCTTACATTTTTTTTCTTGATTTAAGTAGATTAAGTTATTTTTTTGGTCGCACCCCCTTTGAAAGAACAAATTTTTTTAAGGGTAAGAAAATACATGAATTTGGATTTAAAATCATGTGCTTGGAAGAGGAAAAATTGAGGAAACAAGTTTTGGCACCTGGATTTACTGTGGTTAAAGTTTGCCCGAAAGTGTGCAGTGTGCCCTCCCACAAGGGTGACTCTTTCACCTTCAGGTTGGTTTTAACTCCAGGGTAAGTGTTTCCAACGTCCATGAACCAGGCAAAGCCATTTTGGAAAAATGGATTTTTGAATACACGGGAATTAAGGGCTATATAAATGCTAATTAAATGCCCTATTCCTGATTTTAATGCTCTGTAATTTTTTTCAAAAATCGCGGCTTTGCTATAGCTTCCGATGAAGCTAGCAAAGCCAAACATTTTTTTTAACTTTAATTTACTTTATTTGTGCTCACAATCATTGAGTAATTAATGCTAATTAAATGCTCATTTTAAGTAATTGAAAATTACATTTTAATAATTTTTTTGTATACAAATGCGCATTTTGAGTATTTATGTATTTATGCTAATTAGTTTTTGATTGACTTGTTTCGTATTACCTTGAGTACGCTGACAACTGGGGGCTAGCAGATGTGATTTTGACATTCTTTGGTCCATCTTACGTTCTATTACTCTCGTTCTATTATTCTAATCGGTGACTCCAGCGATGAGATAGCTATTTTTGTTTAGTGAATGGGAAATTACAATACCAGACATAGGATGGTGGATCCATCGATGAGAATAAGAACCTACCCATATGTGCAATAGTCATTTATGCAACGACAATCACATGAGTAAAAAATAGTATATCACAATCCGAGACGGAAAATGCTTCATTGTTGGTCGAGAGGTTATATAGTTTATCGAGACGCTTAGCGTCGAGATAAACTAAACCTCGAGACACTGATGTGAAGTTATCAGACAAAAGTTATCAGACAATTTTCCGGAAACAGCCGAAGGTTCAGTGGCGTCGGGGTTTTTTTATGTATGTATATTTTACCTTTATCTCTTGTAACAACGGCTTATTAGGTGCTCCCCAAGGATTTAAACATGAAAATTCCCAATATTTTCTCATTAGTAGGTACAAATCTACGGTCATTGAAATTTTTGAAGGTGAAACTGTTTCTTAACATTTCTCAAAAACTGTCCGTAATGACAGGTTCAAATTATTACTAGACATTATTTGGATCACAAAGAACATTAAAAAAAAAATTAACCACACCCCTGCGCCCCTTCGGTCTTTGAAATTTTTAAGGGTGAGGGTGAAATATATTTTTCAACTTTTCTCAAAAACGGCCCGTACTGACAGGTTCAAATTATTACTAGACATTATTAAGATCACCAAGAACAATAAAAAAAATATACCATACCCCATAAGCTTTTTGTGACTTGAATATCTGATAATAATTTGAACCGGTCAGTACGGACGGTTTTTGAAAGATGCTAAAACATATTTCACCGTATTACACCCTTAAAAATTTCAAAGACCGAAAGGGCGCAGGGGTATGGTATATTTTTTTTATTGTTCTATGTGATCTAAATAATATCTAGTAACAATTTGAACCTGGCAGTACGGGCCGTTTTTGAGAAAAGTTGAAAAACATATTTCACCCCGAGGGGGAAACCACCTTAGAATTTTGGTGTACAAACTGATAGAATTTTTTAGAATTTCTTAGAATTTTTAGTATTATCAGTATTTTTTAGCATTTTTTAGTAATTTCTAGCATTTTTAGAATTAGTTGGAATTTTTTAGTATTGTTTAGAATTTTTTAGAACTAATTTAGAATTTTCACCTATTGCGCATGCTCAAGAGCCTGCGCACTGCGCAATCTGTAGGGATTTTTGGGATTTTTTTTGAATTTTTAGAATTTTTCGAGAATCAGTGATGTATTATAAATGTCACCCCCTTCTAAGTTTTTTCATTCGACATTTTTGACAAAAGTGTCAAATACAAAAGTTTCAATAAATTGTTGAAAGTTTTTAACTAAAGGCGATTTCGCCTCAGTTTGGTACCCCAGTTTGGTCTGTCAAACAGGTAAAGTCTGTTTTTTTTTAAAGATAATTCCCCAAGTCAAAAATTTAGTAACTATGTTGGTAACACAAGCCTTTTCTACATAAAAAATTTGAATTCATTGACAATTTCACATTGTATTGCCAACATAATGTCATTTTTGACTTTTATCTTTAAAAAACAAACAAGCTCTACCATTCAATTTCGGATGGGTGAATGATGCTGTCACAACAACTTTGGTAGACCCTTTGGTCTGTCAGATGCTATACCGCGGTTTGACTGGGTAGTGGAGGTTTGGTAGCTTTCTGTTTCTTTTTCTCTCATGTCCAAATAAACATGTCAAAGTCAAAATGTACCAAACGCCCTATCCACTGAATTCGGATGAAATTGTTGAGCTACGTCACTTACGTACCAATTGGTTAACCATTCGCCTACCAAACAGTAGATGAAAATCTGGGGCGAAATCGCCTTAAGTCAATTTTAGACATACAGGGTGTGTCAAAAAAGTGTAGCAGTGTGAAGTTATATTTTTTTTTTAAATGGAACACCCTGCATATTGTGCGCTTATTTGTTAGTCCCTTTTAATCTGATTTCAACCATATACGATTTGATATGTCTATCTTTGATATTTATAGGGAAAAACATGAAAACCCCGAGGAAAACCCCTTTCAAGGTTTCATATTCAAAAAAGAAAAATTAAGTATACCATTTAAGCTTTAGAGAATTTTTTTTATGAACAGTTTATTCTCGAGTTTATTGTTCAAATTTTATTCATTAATATATAAGGTGGAATATTATAATAAATTCAGGTGTCTTAAGTTATTATTATTATTTTTGAAAAAATAACATGAGAGACCTAGCAAGGGATTTTCCCGTTTTTCCCTATAACTATTGAAAACGAGAGATAAATACATCAAACCGTATATCGTTTCGTTGAAATCAGGTTAAAGGGGACTAATGTCCGTTGCATGGTTCTTGAGCTACGACTACTGAATAGACAGAAAGAACAATGGGCTATTGCTGCGTTGTCATATCAATAATAATATTTATTATTACATGAAAATGAAGGAAATTTTATTGCAATTTTCATGTATTAATAAATATTATCGATATGACAACTGACAACGCAGCAATAGCCCATTGTCCCCTCTGTCTATTCAGTAGCCGTAGGTCAAGAACCATGCAACGGACTATAACAAATAAGCGCACAATATACAGGGTGTTCCATTTAAAAAAATATAACTTCACTCTGCTGCACTTTTTTGACACACCCTGTATGCCTAAAACTAACTTAAAGTCTGTTTTTTTTTAAAGATAAAAGTCAAAATGACATAATGTTGGCAATACAGTGTAAAATTGTCAATCCTTAAAAAATTTTATGTAGGAAAGGCTTGTGTTGCCAACATAGTTAATAAATTTTTGACTTGGGGAATTATCTTTTAAAAAAAAAACAAACTTTAGTTAAAGACTTTTGACAATTTCTTAAAACTTTTCTATTTGACACTTCTGTCAAAAACGTCAAATAATAAAGTTAGTAGAGGGTGACATTTATAATAGATCTATCCCTATGCGAACTGATAGAATTATTAGAATTTTTTAGAATTTTTAGAATTTCTTAGAATTTTTCAGAATTATCAGTATTTTTTTGCATTTTTTTAGTATTTTCTAGCAATTTCTAGAATTATTCAGTATTTTTTAGAATTGAACTAGAATTTTTTAGAAAAAATTTAGAATTTTTATCTATTGCGCACGCTCAAGAGCCTGCCCCTTCCCTCACCGATTTCCCTATTCGACTTCCCTCACCGATTTCCCTCACTCTAATTTATTTACCTTCGCTGGCAACAATGAGAACATGTCAGGTAAAAACGTCAAAGCAGTGAATGACACATTTTGGCATGTTTGTTTTATTTTTTTAACATTAAAAAAATTGATTGACTAATCGTAATTATTGGTGTGCTTGCAAATAAAATAGTATACAAACTTTGGAGGAAAGTTTTCATTATGAAACACTTCCCTACTCGGTATGTAATATACTA